AAAACCATCGAAACCACATAGTAAACTCAAGGAGCTCTCATCCTATGTGAGCACATTCCTATGATTCTTCAGATCCCTTTAATCATTCCCTTCCCTTTCCTGTAGATCTCCACTGCTCCTCTAAAAACTTAATTAAATAAAACTCTCTTACTCCTACACTACGAATCTAAATGAAAGACAGACAACATAAAACACACCCAGAAAAGGGGGGGGGGGAGAGAGAAAGAAAGAAAAAAGAAAAGAAAAGTAAGTAAAAGAAAAGAAAAGAAAAACAGAGCAGAACAAAACAAAACAAAATAAAGGATTGTAGCACATATATTTGTATAATATAATCTCTTTCTGGCTCAACATGTTATAGTGGTTTGAGCATTAGACTATAACTCTGGAGACAGGGTTTGAATCCTCACTCAACCAGAGAGAATACTCTCTCAGCCTCTCAGGAATGCTAAGGGAACCCCCCTCTGAAGAACTCCATCATAGGTTCACCTTAGGGTTTCCATATGTCAGAAATGAAGTCATTTATCAATTCATCACTTAGACAATCCATTCCTCAGTTTTTGCGCAGATCACAGCAGCTTCTCTAATTGCCTCCATTTGTATCTATTTTGAGCTCAAGTTGACTACTGTACCATTGAATGACCACGTTCATCTCTCACATTATACACCATATGGAATGAATCAGATCATCAGGTGGGAGGATGACTAAGAGGTTGCGCCCATCCCCACAGGTACCATGTTGCTGTGGCATTGCTCCAGCATCCATCAGTTCTGCTCATCACGTGGCCTTCAAAGCAATGTTTGAGTTGGACAACGTGGCGTAGAGGATCTTTCACTTTTGATATTTTTCAAACACCCATGTTATGCAGTCCATGTTTTCTCTGCATTCTGAGAGACAGCTGAACGAGCCATCTTTCAAGGAAGGCATGTGTGACCCATAGTAGTTTGAAGAGAGCCTTCATCATTGTCCATGTGTCTGCACCATAGCATAGGGCAGGTAGCAATGTCTAGTCGAACAAATGAGCTCGTAGAGCTGTACCACCAGTTGAGTCCACCATGGCTTTAATAGAATTGTAAGCAGCCCATTCGCTCCTTGTTGTTAACAACCTTCCAAGGTAGATGTATTCTTCATCTAATATGGTTATTGACTGTGCTGCTTGAGGACAATGAGATCTATTCAATGCTCCTCCTTTGCCATGTCCCAGCCTGGTCCTGAGAGTCAGCTATGTCCAATGGCTTTGTACCCAGCCAACCTTTACATGCCAGGGAGGACATTGTGTGCTTCAAAACATAAAAGAGAGGGTGAGCCTAGAGGCCAATTCCAAGGTTGATCTCCGTTTCAGTTCTTGCATCCCATGACCTTAACGATGAAATTCAAAGATGTTCTTTTGGCCCATTCAATTCCCTGAGGTGCTCCACATCAATAAATTCCTCATTTCTCTTCATGTCTTTCTGACAAGCAAAGGGCGTTTGCTTAGCCCTTTCACTCCACCATCTAGCCAAACTGGTACACTTCCTACCCTCAAAAAAAAACTGGGTACAACCAAGCCATCACAGTTTTGTTGTTGTTTATTCATTCAGTTGCCTCTGACTCTTTGTGACCTCATGGACCAGCCCACGCCAGAGCTCCCTGTTAGCCGTGGCCACCTCCAGCTTCTTCAAGGTCAAGCCAGTCACTTCAAGGATACCATCTTGCCCTTGGCTCTTCCTTTTTCCTTTTTCCTTCCATTTTCCACCTCATCATTGTCTTCTCTAAGTACTTCATCTTTGCCTCTAATATCCTTCCCTCCAGTAAGCAATAGGGCTTTATTTCCTAAAATATGGACTGGTTGGATTTTCTCACGGTCCAAGGCACTCTCAAAACTTTCCTCCAACAATGCAGTTGGAGGAAGGGAAAGCTTCCTTCGCTCAGCCTTCCCTATGGCTCACACACAGTTACAACTATATTATTTTCACAGTGTAAATAACCCCCACAATTAAACACAGCATGAATAAGTGGACTGTCTAGGCCTGTGATCAAATCCAGCAAAGTTAATCTTCTTACTTTTGGAAACATCAACCCCACAGTCCAGGCCCGTAGCCAAAATTTCAATTCGGGGGGGGGGGGCTGAGATTTTTTCAGGGGGGGTTTCGGGGGGGGCTGAGTTTCAGGGGGGCTGAGTCTGAGTGAAAGAGGGTCTACCCTAGCAAACCTTTTGTATCATTACCCCAATACCCCCATGCATATGGGATATATTGAGTATGGTGATCAGATCATGATATGAATAAACATAACAGTTTAAATAATGCACCAGTAAGGCCTTTTTGTGAACCACCATGAGAATTTCGGGGGGGGGGGCTGAAG